ACCCACTGAGTCACCTCATCAGCCCTCAAGTGCTATTCTAATCTTTTGGGAACTTTCTGGCCTGACACAGGAGGAGGGCCTTGATAGACTGCTCCAAGCAGGCCACACTGGAGCAGCTGGCCCATCCACCCTCTCCACTCACTCTTGATTCTCAGCAGCTGTTTCTCTTGCGGTTCCCATTAGAGCTTCTGGATCTTTCCTCTCTGAATTTTTATTCTGGAAATGCTGACAAGGTTGTCCTTTGAGTTCATCCCCATCTGAAGTATCAGAAGATGATGTCACTTCCTTCTATTGTCTAACATACAATAGAAGAGGAAAGTCCAGAAGCTGGAGAGATGACTCAACAGTTAAGAGCACTGGCTGTTTCTGCAGAGGACCCAGGCCTGATGCATAGCACCCACATGGTGGCTAACAACTGTCTGTAATTTCAGGTTCAGGGGATCTGATGCCCTCGTCTGGCCTACATGGGGAATGCACACATGTGGTACACTTGCATACCTGCAGGCAAAACACATACACATAAAGTACAAATAAGCCAATTAATTAATTTTAAAACATTTAAACAGTGGGGAGCCCAGACCTGCTTCCTTGAGTCTGTGAAGAGACTGTCTTCCTCCGTCACCTCTTCTTTAACTTTCTGAACCTCTTTGAATATCTGCTGGGATGCTTTCTTCCTGAGTCTCTTGACTTTCTGTGGCTTTTTAAAAATGTATTTAATGCCATCTACAATGTAACTGTGTTCCCTGTAGAGTCCTGCCCTAATCTCCTCCTTCCTGGCCAGGGATGGAGGTGGGATAGTAGAGCCTAAGGGCATCCCTTATACCACACAGCAACTTGTACACGTGACAGAAGCCTGGGCAGCAGAATTCTAGCCCATTAAGCTCCAAAGCAGCTCACACTGATACTTGAGAGTGCCTGGAAGAGCTCAGAGACTTTTTAAAAACAGCCATATTGGAGTGCACAATAAACCACATACTTAAAATATAGTTATTTATTTTTATTTTATGTATATGAGTGTTTTGCCTGCATATATATACATATGTGTGTGTGTGTGTGTGTGTGTGTGTGTGTGTACCACGTTTGTGCAATGCCCACAGAGACAAGAAGAGGGCATTGGATCTACTAGAACTGGAGTAACAGACAGTTGGTAGCAATCATGTGGGTGCTGAGATCTCTCCAGCCCCTAAAATACACAGCTTGATAAGTTTTGACATATGTAAATGTCAGTGAGGCACTCATTACCAGTCATGTAAAAAGCACATTCCCTATGCCCTTCCCTCATTGCCCTGGTCCCCACCCCTCCCAGCCAAACACCCTCAGTAACCACTGAGTTCAGCCACTATGGATTAGTTTGCATCTTCTAAGATTTAGCTAAATAAAAATAAAAATTAACAAATAAGAAATTTAAAAATATACATAAGCAGACAGCTTTCTTCACTTAGCCTTTTGAAGCTTCATGCTCGAGATTGTGGGAGTCTGTGGTTCAGGGGATCTGATGCCTAACACATAGTATTCCATTATGCAGATAGACTGCCATTGTTTCTCCATTCATCTGATGGTGGCCAGCTGGATTGATGGCAGTTTGTGACTGTATTAAGTACAGCAACCAGGAATCCCTATGTACAAGTCTATGTAAGGACATATGTTTTTATTTTCCTTGGTTAAGCATTTAGGAGTGGAATGGCTGGAAGTTGTTTCACTTTTTAAGAAACTGCCATGTTTTCCCAAATTGGTTCTACCACTTCCTGCTCCCCAGTGGAGAATGAAAGCTACAATTGCTCTACAACCTTTTTGGAGCCATTTTAAACGTCACCCTAGGGCCTGGAGAGATGGCTTAGGCTGCTCTTGCAGAGGACCCAGGTGCAGTTCCCAGTACTTACATGGTGGCTAACAACCGTCTTTAACTCCAGTTCCAGTGGATCCAATACCCTCTTCTAGCCTCCTTGGGCATTGCACATATGTGGTGCACTTACATACATGCAGGCAAAACAGTCGTACACATGAAATAAAATTAATTAATTTTAAAATGTGTCACCATTGATCTCTTTCTTTAAAAATAACGTGTGTGTGTGTGTGTGTGTGTGTGTGTGTAGGTGTACATATAAAATTGGTTCTCTCCTTCCACATTTATGTGTGTTCTGGGGATTGAACTCAGGTCACCAGACTCACACAGTGACCTTTACCCACTGAGTCATCTCACCAGCCCCCCTTTTCCTTTTTCTTCCTTCTGTTATGAAGGTAACTAGCATTTACCTGTGTAGTAGAAGGCTCCTTTGTCCTGGGAAGGAGCCCTGGGTGGCTTCTTTAGTCACCCATGTGGCCTGTGCTCTCTCCGGCTTACCTTGAGGCAAGACCTGCAGGCCCATCACAGCCTTAAATGAATAGCTGTGGTCACAAGTCCTCAGCACATGATGCCAAGTGCAGAAGAAGTTTCATCTTGGGCTCTGCAAACCTGGCATAAATCACCTTTATCCTCTCCCTAATTTCTCTCCAAGGCACAGCTGCTTTATATATCCTCTACCTCCCTTCACCCACCTCTCCACTCACCCTTCCCTACACCCCTTTTAACCCAATGAACCAATTTGCTTCCCAACTCTAATTTCCAAGTCCCTAAGCTGAGCTTCTTTTCCCTGGACCTGTGGTTCTCAGGGAGCTTCTCATCAACAGGATCACGGTCCTTGGGAACTTGTCAGCAGAGAGCACTGTCAGGTCCCACTCCAGAGCCTCAGAAACTCTGGGTTAGAGCCAATAGTCTGTGCTTCAACACAGGGGTTGTGGTGTGTGCTGCTGGTCCAGGCCCACCACCAGAGAATATAGCTTGGAGTCATTTATTGTTACCTTCGCATGTTACATGAGGGCCTCACCCATCATCTTAATAGGTTTCTCAAATATTTTATCTAACACTTCTGCTGTGAGTGGCATGTGGGGAATTATGCTGTTTTGTAAATAAGGTTTTCTTCACCTCACTTCATCAGTGAAAAGCAAATTCCCATTCACTGTCTTTTTATTGTTGTTATTTTAAATCTTATGTGTATAAATATTTTGCTTGCATATATGCAGTGCACCCACGTTGTGCAATGCCTGCAGAGACCAGAAGATGGCATCAGATCCTCTGGAATTGGAGTTACAGATGGTTGCTAGGTGCTATGTGGGTGCTGGGAACCGAAAACAGGTCCTCTGCAAGAACAGCCAGTGCTCTTAACCACTGAGCCATCTCTCCAGCCCCCTGTTTGTTTTGGTTTTGCTCTTGAGACAGGGTCTCCTACAACCCAGTCTGGCCTGGAGCTCACTATGTAGCCCAAGCTGGCCTTGAACTCACAACAATCCTCCTGCCTCAGCCTCCTGAGTGCTAAAATGACATGATGAACCACCACACCCCAGCTCCATCCACCGTTTTTCAGAAAGAAGTAAATGATGCTTTTTGGTTGGCCAAAGACTTGGGCCTTCAGTGGGATAAGATCTACGGGTCCATATTTGTATCAACTTATCTAGGAAGGAAGGAGTCTCCTCTAAAGGAGGAACAGGGAGCCCCTTGCTGTCCTCCAAGATCCAATAGTAGGATCCTGGGTCCAGAGCTGGGAGAGGAGCATCATAGGTTGGTGCTCTGGTCTGCAGCATGGTAAGTGACCTGGTGATGTCTCCAACAAGTATCAAGGCTGCACCAGTAACAGCAGCAGCATCAGGACCAAGCAGCCATCCCCTGCCTGGTGTTTCCAGCTCTCAGCCTGAGCAATGGTATCCCAAGCAGCCAGACAGCCCACGTCCAATCATCAGAGGCAGAGAGCTGAGGCCTTCTTACAGACCTTGGGTACTCTGAAGATAGGTAACTGTGGGCAAAGAGCTGACTGACCTGCTGACGTGGCAGGTAGAAACCTGTACTCTGTAACCAGCTTAAAAAGGAAGTGGGAAATTATTTGAACACACAGGCTAAGGGGGCCTGAGGTATGTGTTATATTGAAAAGGTCAAAGCAGTCGTTTGGGCTGACAGTTCTAAACATACTTTTACATTTACTCTTGTTAAGTTTCCTAAGATACCATAGCCTTCATGATACAGTCAAAGGCAGTTCTAGAAACCTTGAGAGGCTCACAGGTTGGGGGGAACAAAGAGGCTTGGTGAGAAGTCAAAGGAACTTAATGGATATCCACAGGATCAGTCGCCTTACTTTTGATTTTCATAGCTTCCAGTGATCTAATTCTTTGCATGGCCTGGAATGTTCTGGAAAATTGCCTCCACACAAATGGCTTGCTTCTAATTTGGAATGTGGTCAAGTTGAGTTTGGGTTTTTGTTACTGTTGTTTGGGGAGGTGGTTTGAGACAGGGTCTTGTGTAGCCCAGGCTGGCCTCAAATTCACTTATATAGCCAAGAATAACCTTGAATTTCTGGTATTCATGCCTCCACTTCCTGAGTGCCAGGATGACAGGCATGTACCATCATGCCGAGTACAAGCCAGGGATAGTGCATGCAAAGCAAGTGCTCTACCAACTGAACCACACCCCCAATCCTCAAACTGAATTTAAAAGCACATGTTCATTTCATGTATTTTGTTAAACAAAGAGATTTTTTTTTTGAGGCCAAGTCTTGCTATGTAGCCTAGACTGGCTGTGTATTTGTGGCAACCCCCCCTGCCTCAGCCTCCCAGAGTGCTGGGATTACTGGCATGTGCTGCAGCTCCTGACTGACAGTTACTGGAAGGGTGATACACTTGGATAAGATAGGGGTTCTGGAGCAAGGGATCTCTCGGTTTGTCTCTCAGTGCTGCCACTTTGGAGTTCTAAAAATTTCAATGCATTTCTGAGCCTCACGTTCCTTCTCAGAGAAATAGGACTAACTGCATCCACACTATGGACATTAGTAAGGAGTGAAGGAATTCATATTTGTAAAGAGCCTAGCACCATGCCTGAGACAAAGTCAAAGCTAAATAAACATTCACTCACCCACCCCTTTTCTTCCTGTATTCTATTTTTAATATAAATGTAGAACAAATTACTTAAAACAATGCAAAGAAGAATCCACGTTTATGTGTCCTGCCTGTGATGCAAGTTAGTTTATAGTTCTGTGGACAGGTCATGACTGTCCCTTGGTGCAGCTTGCACAGAGTCCCCACTGCTTGGAAATGGACTCTCATTGCACCTTGGAAACAGGCTGCAGAGGTATTTCCTAAAGTTCCTGTCAAGAAACAAATAAAGGAGAGGGTTGACACAGCAGTGAGTGGTGGCGACCATCTGCGTAACCTGGACACTTGTGTCCAGGTTGTAGCTGCTTTTTTCATCCTGCAGGGACAAGTGTTCTTGGAAAGTGGACAGGAAAAGTACAGTGTTGTAGGGTGCCCACATCAAAAGGAAGACACCCATTATGACAGAAGCAAGCCTGCAAAGATTGTATTGCCTTTCCCCAAAGCTTCGTGTTTTCCTCATTCGCATCCAGCAGAATATAAAAACCATCAGTGGAGAAACAAGTACCAAAACGTTTGTCTTTAAAGTCAGAACACACTTCCAGAACGGCTCTTCAATGGGCAGGAAGTGAGGTCTGGCAAAGGCACACGTGTACGATTGCCTGTCTAGCTGAGGTTTATAAAACACAAATTCAGGCAAAGTGGCCAAAATAGCTACAATCCATGCCAGGACACTTGGAACGATACCAACAGTCACCTTCTGAGGGGCTGAGGACAGCCATCTCCCATGGGAAAACACTTGGTACCCTTGCAGGAGGAGGAGAATGTTGAAAAAGGCTTCGCTGTATAAGCTCGTGGAGTGGGTTCCAATGAGAACTTTACACGTGGAACTCCTGGGGCTTTCTCCTTGCAAAACAGCGTGTGCCCAGAATGGCAGAGGAAGCAGGAAACACAAATTTGAAACTGTCAGGTTTAGAAAGTAGATATTCCCTGCGTGCTTGAGTTCTTTATATTTCACCAGGATAAACACAGCCAAGATGTTGTTCACGAGACCAACTGCGAATACTGTGGAGCAGAACTGGAGCACCTGCTGGGCAGAGAGAAGCTCGGGGTGGTGTTGGTCCAACCCACTGTTCTCCAGATGATCTTCTATGAAGATGTCATACTCATCCTCCGGGGCCACCGTGTAATTATCCATCCTCAGGCTGCCCTGTGGGGAAACTAGAGGTTATTTTATTTCCTATCATACAACTATATTAGCCCAGAGGGCTTTGAAGGCAAACAGTCACACCATTCCTTGCCTAGTACTTAATTTTAGTGAGTTTGTCTACGTCTCAAAAGACTGAGAGTCAATACATGTCCACTTCCCCAGAGTAGCGGCCATACTCAGTCTGCTCATTAAGGACCAAGCTAGTAATGTGTCAGATGCCACTAGACAAAAAAGGAGGCAGGGCATTATGGCCACTTAAGTTCTTTATTTAGGCTGAAATAAGACTTGCCTAATGGGAGACAGGATCTAAGAAAACGTACAGTTAAAGAGAAGCAGATACAACGCTTAACTTTAAGAACTTTGTGCCCCTCCTATTATCTCAGTGTTTAAAAAAGTTTGCTTACCTTGCTGAGTCCTTGAAACAACTTGTGTTTTGCTCCCAAGGGACTTAAACATATGTTTGCAAAAGTGAAACCATGCTCGTCAACCACGTGGACAGAGCTGGTGAGATAAAGATAACTTACCACTTGACTGAGTTCCCAGGGTGGGGTGGGGGGGGCGGGGGAAGGACGTGGGCCCAGAACCTACCATGCAGGGGAGCTGTGGGAACATCAGGGTCAGGGGAAGACCACTTCCTTCTGAGAAGACTGGTCTTGACCTGAAAGAAGCTAGAGAAACCACAGTTTATCCCTCTGAGGCTCTGTCCTTCCAGCCTCCCGTCTCAAGGACCAGCTAGAATCAAGGTTTGACAGTCCCTTGGACTGTAGAGGAACTGGAAAGTTGTTTGCTCTTCTCCCTTTCCCCAGTTGCCCACTTTTGATTTCCCAGAGCCCTTAGACAGCTGTCCTCCTGGCTGCCCCAGATAAGGATGCTAAGTTGCTGCTGCTTCCTCCAGTGATAGTAAAGGGCTGAGGTCAGAGAGCTAAAAAGCACTGCCCCACCCCCTTGGCTTCTGACATTAGCTCTCTAAATAGGTTACAGTTTCCAGAGTAGAAAAGTGCCCATAGTCACCAGGAATTTGAGGATCCTCCCTCAAAGGCAGCAATCACCAGCACTGATAGATAACTACTTGAATTAGTAAAGGGGATCAGGGACTCTCAGGGAGAACATAGTGAGAGGTAGGTGTTAAGAGTTTTTACTGTTACCTTTGAGAGGCGCTGTGTGCCTTCTCTGATGGATGGAATCCCCAGAGAGGATTTGGGAGGCAAAGAAGCCACAGAGTGATATCAGGTGAGAAGGAGGTTGGGGACAGAATGAGGCAGATAAAGGGTGCTGGTGTGGGTGAATATTGGGCTGCTCTGGGCATTTGTACTGAGGAAAGTGAGGGGAGTTGCAAACAGCTGGAAGGAAGCGAGTAGTCTTGGGACAGGCGGAACTGACTCTGCTCAGGGAAAGACCCAGAGGAAGGAAACCCTGTGTGAGGATGTGTAGGCGACATGACATCAAGTAGAAGATAGCATGAAGAGGTCAAGTTTAGCTTCACGTGGAAGCTGGGGTGGGGAAAGGGAAAATACTTAGAGTCTGAATCAGAGATCCAAGGAAAGTTTCTGTATATGAAAGCATATAGATTCATTGTATTTGTCAGTTTTCCATCACTGTGACAAAATATTTGAGATGATCAATTTTTAAAAAAGAAGAAAAGCTTTTGGGGCTTATAATTTCAAAGGTTCCCATCCATGGTCACTTGGCCCCACTACACCTGGGGCTGTGATGAGGATGAGGCAGCACATCACTGTGGGAGTACATGGTAGAGGATGCCTTTTCATCTAATCCTAGCTGAAAAATAAAGAGAGGAAGAGCTTGGGATCCTAGTATCCCCTTCAAGGACATGCCCCAATCATCACTTCCGTCCCCTAGGCCACACTTTCCAAAGGTTCCACCACCTCCCAATAGCACCCCAGACTGGGAGCAGCCCTTTTATACACGAGCCTTGCAGGGGGCGGGCGCTTATAAAACCACAGAGCAGTCTTGTCAGTGAAACTAAACCACCATCTATAAATTGGCAGGTAGTTCAGAAGCTTAGCTGTGAAGATCTGAGTTCTTAATCACTGAAACTTCCCCCGACCTGCAATCTAAGAGGCAATCACTGTGTGCTTAGTCTCCCCTCCATGTAGACCAGCTATTCATTCAACAAGCATTTATAGGTGCCTAGCATGTGCTCGGCCCTGCCCTACATGCTAGAGATACATCAATGAACAAAAGAGGCAAAATTTTAACTCTCATGTACCTCCTATTCAACAAACAAAAACAAAGTTGTATTAACAGTTGGTAGGAAAGAAGGAGGGTCAGGCGGCTCAGTAGTGAGACAGCATCACTGGGTGTGGGCAGGGAGACAGCAAAGGACTGGATCCAATAATGCCATTACCACATTCTTCCTTGTTACAAACTCCTTCTGTCAGAGAAAACACACGCTAGGTGATAATTTTAGCAAGATTTTACCAAAGATGCGGAGATATTCTTCATACTCTCTTGACTCTCACTATCAAGAGCAAAGGACAAAGTGCATAAGCCATCCCTAGGGGGAGGGCATCTTCCAAGTCCATTCCTTCTTTGGATGCCCCACCTCAGCCTCGAGTTACTGGGGGCTCCTTCCATTGCCATTCCCGTATTCTTTGGCACTCTCCTCACTGTTTAGTATTCACCCCCTCTATTAGTCAACAGTTCTTCAGATATAATGTCTATTGTTCAAGTTACAGCTGTCATTTCTGGATGAGGATTGACACTGCACTATATTGAGCTCAGTGACAGGATGAGGGAAAACTAAGAAGATGGGGACTAACAGGATGTCGGTTTTCAGAGACCTAACTTGATACTGAGAAGGGGTATTGGGTTGCTTAGACGTACGCTACCTTAATCTATTCCTGACTGACAGCTTCTTCAAATACCTGTTCTCTCAGCTCTATCATCTATCTATTAACTATGTGTCTACCTATTATCTACCCCCTCATATATATTTACCCATCTACATCTACCAGTCATCTATCAACTATATACCTATCTATCAACTATCAATCATCTGTCTTCTATCTGTCCTCCTGTCATCTATCTATCCATCCATCTTAACTGTCTATCCATCCATCTGTCATCCACCATTCATCTATCTATTGATCTATTGATCTATCATTTATCTATCCATCTGCCTATCTGTCTACCCATCCTCTCTTATTTACTTATCATCTATTGACTATCTGTGTATACTTGTATATAGCTACTTCATTCTCGCATATAGATCTACCCATCTCTTTATCAACTATCTATGTACCTTGCTATCATCTATTTAGCATCCATCTATATGTTTTATTAACAAATACTATCTTATAGAAAATGTGGAAAGCATGGGGAAAAAAGAATCTACGGTAAAGAAGTTCCCAAATAAAAATTTTCACATTTTTATATGCTTCTTTTCCTTCTCCTCCTTCTCCTCCTCCTTCTTCTTCTCCTTCTTCTTTTTGGCCCTTTGAGACAGGTCTCCCTGTAGCCCCAGCAGCCTGGAACTCACCACATAGACCATGCTGGTCTCAACAACCCACCTGCCTCTGCCTCCTGAGTGCTGGGATTAAAGGCATGCACCACCCCACTTGGCTATTTTCTGTTTTTAAAGACCTACTTCTTAATGGAAAATGTGCAAAAACTACTTTTAGGAAAAAGCCAATATTCTGCTGGATTAGTTCTTCATTACCGAGTGGTAGATTAGAGGAGTAAATAGTCACATGTTGTCATTTAAAGATCATTTACTTGTATCCCAGAGATGGGACAGGGGAAGGGAAAGTGATAGAACTTAAAGTCATGGCATTTTGTTATCTACTGACGTATGTGACTGACTTTTGGTGAATAAGGAAATTGAAACCAAGATTCAGGCTACTTGGCTTGGGTTCCTAGGAACCCAGGGCTCTGAGAGGCAGAAGTATATGCTGAAGTCATGTTGGGCAGGGCTTCCAGCAGACATATCTGTAAGGGATGGAGTGAGGCAGAACCAGTGATGGGTGGAATGACCACAGTGTGGTGACAACTGAGCTCTCAGCTGCTCCTACATGGGGCCATAGAGCTAGGATGGGTCTTGAGGGCTGTACTGAATTTTGTGACTAGGCCAGGCCCCTGTAATCCCACATCAGCCTTGTCCTAGGCTATCTCCTGGGAGGTGGCACTGTCTAGAAATAGACAGTTTTAGTTTCTAGTGAGGGGAGCAACTGCAGCTTTTACCCAAGCAACTGAGGGAGGCAGGTGCAATGGTCCTGAAGAGAGCATCTGGAAAGTTCCACAGCATGCTCTGTGCTGGTAGAAGATTCTAGACTCCCTAAAAAAATTTGTTTTCCCTAAATAGCAAAAAAGGGAAACTAAAATTTCCAAAGCTACTATGTTGTAAGTCCGGGAAACCCACACAGGAGCTCCTATGAACACACTGAAAGAGGAAGTCATGTGCTCAGCGAGGAGCATGTGCTTATTGCTGCACCTGACCATTTTGTTGACTGCTCATCCATTGTCATCAGACTACAAAGAGAAAGGTCAGAGAGGAACTGGGATGTCCCTCTCAGCCCCCTTCCCCAGCTCTCCTTTTTCCTCTTCTCCACTGCCAAATTAGTGACTCTCTGCTTTTCACAAGGTTGAGTTGGGTCGGACAGATGGGGCTGCCTAATATAAACCATATCACAGGGACAAGAAGTCTTTCTACAGAGATTAACAGAAGCAATATGGGGGCCTGGGGAGATGGTTCAATCATTAAAGTGCTTGCCACACTAGCATGAAGACCTGAGTTTAATTCCCAGAACCTATGTAAAAAATATATATATATAGGCATAATGGACCTGTTTGTAATTTCAGTGCTGGGAGGTAGAAACAGGCAGATCCCTAGGACTCACTGGCTGGCCAGCCTAGCCAAATTGTCAGGTTCCAAGTCATGAGAGACCCTGTCTCAAAAAATTAAGGTGGATAGTGTCCTTTGAATGACACCTGATGTTGACCTCTGACTTCTACAACACACTGGCACACATCTGCACGCATACATGTATACGCACATCTGCATGAATATGCACACATATGAACATGTTCACAAAAGAAGCACACAAAACACCCTCATTTTAAAATAGTCCCCTTAATAAAATTAAATAATGACCCATTTTAATTGTGCGGGAAAGGGTTGTGACCTGCTCTACGGCATGGGCGATTTCCTGAGTCCTGCCTAGACCCAGACCCTTGTGAGCCAAGTTGGGCACTGTGAAGGTTCTGTTCCCTTCTTGCTAGCTCTCCCCAGGGACAGTCCCTAAGGTTCCTCAGAGGCTGTGCTGCCACTTCCTTCCTAGGCTCCGCAGCTTCTAAGGATGTGATTTGAGGCGGCTTTCATCACTGTCTGGGACTCTACTGTCTCCCATTCCATCCTGTCTCCAATGATTCAGTCATACCCTCTGAAAAGGGTGCATGAAGGTGCTCCTA